CGAGCCCATATTTCTGATTTTTATGAACTCACTTAGGAATCTTGTATTACATTTTCAAGCTTTTTTACTAAGTGAACAAGTTTTTATCGAGATTAGTATAAAAAAAATTACAAATTTCAAAACATTTCTCAAGGCTATAACTATCCCAAAAAGAGTCGAAATATTATGAAAAATTTACCATTTATGTGAAATGCTAATATAAATATTTAGTGAAAATTTCAATTGTCTACGGTTATTAATTTTTGAGTTACACCAAAAAAATAAAATCGATTTCCTCAAACTTCGGTTTTTGCGTAAAAATTATCACTTTTCTTTCACTTCTCTTTTGTTTTTCTTAGCTTTTTCTAAAACTACTTGGAATTTTCAATTTTTACCTCCCAAAAGTACCAACTAGGTTAACTTTTCTATCAGAAAAAATGCTAATCTCAAAAATCGAAGCATGGAAAAAAAATTGCAAAACCAATACATTCTTTGAATCTTAAAAATGTTATAGACGATATTTATTTTGTGAGAAATAACACATGATTTTTAATGGAGTTTTTTTTAACCCTGTAAGGCGCTAAATGTCCTAGATCCCCGGCCTCAGGTATTACAGAGCGCGACGATGGGAATTCAATATAAATTATATGCCTACAATTGCATATGTAACCACTGCAGACTGGAGGTTCTTATTAATGTAGACATGTAGTATCAAAGTTAACAAAACGCGAATGAAGGTCGAACGTCGGAACGTGTGATAAAAAAAATTGTCTAGTGGGATCGCCGCCGTCTCTCTCAAATCCGGCAGTATGCGTTATTGTGTCGAAACACTCAAAACCAAATAGGTAGGTATGAACAGAATATAAGGTATTCGTATATTACATTTTTACCACTTTAAACCGATGAGTAACCATAAACGGTTCAAACCTAGTCACCGCAGTAAATCGCTTACGATGCGTGGACATTTGTGATATTTTTTGACTTCTCGTGTGTTTTTAACAATAACAATTTGGATTTGGCTATGGTTGAAATATTTGTACATAATTTTGCTTAAACATTTTCCGCTTATTACATTTCATGTATACCCACGCAATAGTTTAAAACATGTTAAACAATATTGTTTGGGGAAATATAGCTGTAGCTGTTAACAGAAAAAAAATTAACGCAAAAGAAATGCGTTCGTACGATTATATAGGTATGTAATCGCGTTAGAGAATGTAGATACGATTTATTAGATATTAGAACTTATATTTTAAATATAGCCGTATAAGTTATTAATTAATAATTATTATAATATCAATATGTATTCATATGCACACAACAATTACTGAATATTATATATATATATATACAAGCGTGAAGCGGGGTATGTACTATGTACCATATGAATTATTGACAGTTTTAAAGTCACGTTTAATGAAATTAATAATTCATACTGCAGTCTAGCTATTGTATGATTTACAACGATTTCCGATAATTTTTACTTTACATAATATTTTAACTGTTTAACAAAATAACAATGACTAGATATAACTTATTAAAAAAATCTTACCTACGAATTTTAATTTAATTTAAACGTTTTGGTTATGCACATGACAGTTATTTGAGTAAAACTTCAGAGTATCAAAAATACAATGTATTGGTCGATTAAAATGTATTATGAGAAATTAATGAAATTTATTCCAAATTATTCTCATTATTTAATGGTCAATTATTATTAATGTATCTACATATAGTCTTTATACAATTTAAAAAAATGATTCAGCAACTTTGTCCGAAGAATGATTGTTTTAATTTAGGTATTTAATTTAGGTATTCGCCATTATGTTTGTCACTAAACACCAGGCCACCCGAGTGGTCCAACCTTTTGTAGTTAGTGGGCCAATTTACACATGTATATAAACACCGGGTGCTGCTAAAAGAAAAAAAATATCTTATTCTTAATATACCTATATTATTTAACATTATACAGATTAATATAAATTAATTTGATATAATTTATTATTATTATTATTATTAGTTGGCGATATTATTACCGGCTGCTGCCGTCTCTCTTATTGTTGATTCTTTAATATGTTTACTAATTACTACAATATATTATTATGTCTTCTAGGGGTGGGAGGGAAAAAACTTTAAGGGACGCGGATTGTACCCCTCTACTGTATACACAATTAAGCGTCAGTGTTTATTTTTAAAGATTTATCATGTGTAACTAATCAAACAGGAAGGATTTGGATTAAAAGTAGCACCTATTAAATTCAAGTTTAATATATTTAAATATTTAATAATAATTCACGCTGCAGTCCATTGGACTATTTACAACTGCCGATATGTTTTACTTTACATAGTACCTATCTGAAGTATTAAAGAATATAACAATCACTATACGCACTATAACTTATGAAAAAAAGCCTAAGAATTTTAATTAAATTTAATGTTATGGTTATTCAAAAGGCAGTAATTCCAGTAAAACTGCTGTTTACAGTATAGAGCATATTATAATATATCAAAATACAATATATCAGAAGATAAAAATGTATTAGGGAAAACGAATGAGATTTATTCCAAATTATTCTCAAATTAAACTATGGTCCATTATCAAGTTATATATTCATATAGTTTTTACACAATTTGTCTACTATAAAATTAAAAAAAAAATTTAGAAACTTCGACGGATAATTATTATTGTAATGTAGGCGTTTTGTTCGTCACTATACACTATTAGGCGTCAGTTGTTCTTTTAAAGATTACTCATGTGTAACTACCCAAGCAGGAAACGGGAACCTTCGATGTGAATACATATTAATTCCTAACCTCCCACTAGTTCTGATGCGAAAGGGCAGAGCAATAACATTGGCATGATGACATCGTATAATGCTACACACTCGCAAATACTATATAAGTGAAAGCATTCACTGTTCAAAATTGGTTTTCATGCATATTTCAGTTCAAATATAATGAATGTTTTTGTGATATTTCTCTAAAAATATCAAATAGGTAAATTGGAAAGTTTGTCTTTACTGTCATACACATAGGTACCTATACATAAATGCTAATAAAATTATCATAATTATGGTCTGTACCCGTCATAATGTAGGTATTATTATATACAAAGACGTATATATATTATAGTAGGTACCTACCTTCTTATAGGTAGTACACTATAATATACATAATGTTACTGGTACTTATTTTGACGTTGCAAATCCATCACAATATATATATAGTCTATATAGTCTTATTGTCTTAATAAAGACTTGTTGTGTTCGTCCAAAAAAAAAATTTAAAATTGTCTCATTTGTAATTTTGTAAATGTCATTCTACTAAATTCAAATAAGCTTCTATTCGCGTTCTTACCGACTTTATCTGCTCACTGTTGTAGTCCGTCGTATTTACATAATACAACAAATTGCCTGAAAGGTCAAAACAAATGTGTACTTATATGTGAACGAAAACCTACAGGTAGGTACATACTTTCATATAATATACCTATACGTACCTAGATACCAATCATAATATAATACATTTTGTATTTACATACACAGTGCGCAATAATAATATCAATAATATAAAATCGCATCTACAAATATTACAGTGGTTTATTAAAAAAAAAAACACGAACATACATTATACACTTATTCTAAATCAAAACTAAAGATAGGTAACTAATTAATATATACAGTCACTATAGTTTTGTTGGTAACATCAAATTTCTCACACAAAAAACTTATCTAAGAACTAACACAAATACACGATATAGAAACTTAATTATATGTTGATATTTTTAAGAATAACCTTTCGATTACCTTTTTATGTTTGTTTTTATTATTATAATTGGGCCACATTTATAAATTATAATTACACTTTCAGAATTTATATAATAGCTAGGTATATGAAATATACTAAAAACTAATTTAATTATTGCGTTATGGTGACTCTGAGTATATAGGTACCTAATTAAATTATTATAATTAATATTATAGGAAGAAAATGTATTATTATACAAAGTTCATGTCTATATATTTTAAGAAAAAAGTTAAATTATGATTTTGGAATTTATGACTCCTGTTTATACTAATGGCTTTTCCATACATTAATTTATTATATATGCAATAATAAAAATTTATTTGGTGTTTAGATTAATATACAATGTTCAAATTAAAGAAACTATTTAAATAAGCAAGCACACTGTCCCAAATCACAGTGATTGATTACCCAAATACAAACTAGGTATAAAGAATATTTAAGAGGATTCGTACATGTATAAGATAAAAATACTATTATTATATTTAAGGCGAGCTCTAAAGGAAAAAGAATAAAACGTTCTTATATTCACCGATGGTCATAATAAATTCAAAACAAATAAACTTATAGCCATATAGGAGTATGAATTGACTTAGGTTACAATTTTAAAATTCTTAAAATGTTAAAATGTATATTGTCATTAAAAATATAAAAATTAAAAAATGATACCGTTAAAAAGATGTAAAATCTATTATTTTTTTTCAAAAATGTTGTTTTGTAACGAATTTAAATTATGTAAGAAAAATATTTTCAAAACCGTTAAAGAATCACTATAGTTTTGTATGCTTAGCTAGGTATGATATGAGGGTCAATGTCAATATATGTAGCAGATTATTTTAATTTTTAAATTAAAAAAAATAAAAAAAAAATACCTTATATAATAATAATAACGGCCGACACACGTACGTACCTACTAGTACGTATAGTTAGTCAAAACTAAAAAGTAGTTATCGATTTTTCAAAAATCCGGCTTAAAAAAAGTTATCGGCCCTCCGATTTAACCCCAAACCACATTATTCCTCATAATATTTATGTTTTATTATTATAAATATATTATATATAGGACGATATACCTATTATAATATACTTTGCAGTCTTGATATAATATAATATTTAATTTAGTTCACACCTCGTTCTAGAGCGCATAATATAATATTATAATTTATAATGCATCGTGTTGAATATATAGTATATATAATATTCATAATATTACATGATCATCGCGTCCGGACTCCGTTGTTATTACCATTGTTATCGTCGCCGTCGCCGGGTTCGTCGGCCGTGGCGCTGTTGTTGTTGTGGTTGTGGTTGAACTCTTCGCTCATGTTTAGGAACTTGGCCAGCGTTACCGTCGGCGGCTGGCACGCCGTGGCGTTGTTGGCGTCGCCCGGCACCGGCACGGCCGTGAACCCGGGCCGGCACTCGCACTTGCCCATCTTCCAGCCCCGACCCTTCCGTGTGCCCTTGCCCCTGTCCGGCACCACCCACTCACCGGGCTCGCACGGCCCCTGCAGGTAAAGTTGCTTGCATGACAGATCAGTCCAGGCGACGGTGCCACGCCGGTGGCCACAAGGGTCCTGCGGCTGCAGCAGCGCGTCCGTCCGTCGCGGGCTTGCGCCGGCGCCGCGGACGTCCTGCTGCTGCTGCTGCAGTTTCCTGGCCGCGGCCGGCGGCTTGCACGTGACTGCCTGCGACGACGAGTAAAACGTGCCAGCGGCCGCGTCCGCGTTGGCACAGCCACACATACCCAGGTAAGACACTCCCTCGATGGACGTCTTGACCGTGTCCTGGAACAGGACGATCTGGCCGGCCGGGCACGGGCCCTGAGTGCCCACCCGGTGACAGCCCTTGCCGCCCGGGAAGTACAGCTTGCCCGCGGTGCACGGGACGTCCACGCACCCGACCGCCATGCCGGTGGCCGTCGTGTTTACGCTATACATGTTACCCGCGGCGCAAGGCCCGCGCGTGTAAGGCCTGTAGCACGCGCCGTCCCCGAACCACTTGATGTGGCCCTCCTTGCATGTGCACTCGGCCTTGGAACCACCGGCTGGAACTAGGAACTGGTGTCCCGGGGAACAAGGCCCGATGCCGCCCAGTTGGTAGCACTTACCCGTGCCGTTGTGGAAGTGCGGCAGCGACGGGTCACATCCACACTGGCCTCCCGGCAGGAATATTCCCCCGCGTTCCTGACACGGTCCCATCGTGTAGTGTTCGTGACACGTGCCTATAGAAACGCCAATGTAATATTATGATTTACGATATGGGTCGTGTGAAATTATATATTATTTAATATTAAGACTGCGGTGGAGCAGAACATTTGGAATATTAACAATTTATTATACATGGAATGTCTATAATATCAAATATGTTCGTGTGAGAGAGATAATAATCCCTTTAAAATTCTAAAATTTTTAAATTCTCATTAACACTGCTTCTTAAACCTACTATAGTTTACTAGTGGAAACTGCTACAAGTGGAAGATTTTTTCAAGTACTAGCACAGTGGTCCGATTTAAAATTTGTCATAAGATTTGTATTCATTAACCATTCTATTTGGTTATAATCAAAAAATAATTTTCCTTCATACCCTAGAAAAAAAGCTAACAGTTCATACATACATTGAAAACAGTAATCGGACATCTTGAAATTATAACTTATATAAGAATACGATATTGAAACGTAGGTAGGTATTAGGTAGTTTTAATTGTATAAGAAAAACTCATAAAACTACCTACTGCAGATATATTTCATATTGTATATGACGTATATTATTATGTAAATTAGTAGTTATATGCAGTAGCGTACGCAGGATTTTAGTTTGGTTAGGGTTTTACCTGAGTAAATTATTTAAATTATTTTTTTTCTAAACAGTTTTTATATAATTGGTTATAACAAATTATAGTTAGTCTCAAACTTAGTCTACATTTAGAACACTTGAGTGTTCACCCGGTCACCTGATCATCTATCTTCGGGTCGTAATAAACATGGCAATAATCGATGGACGATGATACATGATGATACACCATTTGACGCTTATGGCAGACGTTTAGCAATGTTCTAAACTAACCAAAAAACTGAAACTACGATTATCGACATCTTTGTCATATTTAACAATTTATTTTATATCTATTAAAAATGACCAACAACTGATCTACTCTGTATTGAAATTGTGATAAATAAGATTTTCTGTTAAAGGAAGACATTTCGGGGGGGGGGGGTCAGAACCCTAGAACCCTACCCCTGGGTACGCCACTGGGCATTTGTCCAGATATTATAATATAATACAGCTTTCCTGTTCTCTCCATGGGTTTTGATTTTTTTTAAATTTTAGTAGTCTTCTGAGAACTTTTATTATTATTATTTTTTTAACTTTTATGAATGCATATATGCAATATAAATACGGCCATTATACCTACAAACTTTAATTTTTAAACCCGTTTCAGTTTTTTTCTTGGAGGGAGAAAATTCGTGTTAAGATTTTAAGTATTTATTGATAGAAAACAAAAATTTTTGACTGCTAAATTGGTTATTGCTAATTTTAATGACACATTAAACAAACTTATTCTTCTGACGTTTCCCTATATGGTTTCGATTTAAAATCTATTTTGTTGTAATTATATATATTATATTATACAGCTGCACTATTATTTCTAACCTGCGGGTGCCCAAAAGTAAGTCACGAGCTCTGGAACGTTTTCACATCTACAGTCGCCGATTAAATCGTTCATGGTGCTAGGCACCAATAGCTGTCCTTCGGTGCATGGTCCCCTAGAGTGCTTGCGGTAGCAGCGCTTGTCTTTGGGCCAAAACAATTCGTTTTTTTCCGCGCACGGTGACGGATCCTCACATGTTCCCCACCTCTCCCTATCATCCCTGTTGAACACACACAATACAAATTTAATATAATATGTATAACATCATTTTTTAGCGGGGTGAGTTTAGAGGTTGGTAGTATACTATATAATATCATATTATAATAAACTGTTTTACATCATATAACCAGGCAACCAACTACGAACAATATAACATTATAAGTATATTATTGTAAATTGTATAATTAAGAATATTATAAATATTATACTATCATTAAACCTCGCTCAGTCGCTCGCATTAATCTAAAAACTAGATGTATAGATTGAATTATATACATAGTTGATTTACTTTGCAAACTAGGTTGAAGCTATGACAAAGTTTATTTATTTTAAAGATTTTACTTAAGGAGACGTTTTTTGTCTCCGTCTTTCAACTTACAAGTGAGTAACATAGCAACTTTTACGCTCAGCAGAACACATTTATCTCCGTTAGCTTAAAAATTAGAGCGAATTGACCTCTTATACAATTTAAAGGTAAGATTATTATCTAGATAATGACGTAGGCATTTTATTATATTTTAATTTTAAAGCGAGTTATGAGTATTTTAAGATGCACAATCAGCTTACAATTTTAAAATACACATAACTCGCTTTAGAATTAAAATATAATAAAAAGCGTATGCCATTGTATAGATAATAGTCGCTTACCTTTAAATTATATAAGAGATCAATTGTAAGATAGAGACTACAAATGTCCTTAAAACGTTCCAAATTTTAACTATATGGATGAGGCAGACTGCTTTCGCATTAGGTACATTCTTCAATTTGTAAATTTACTATAGTAATAATTAATAACTAGCCGGACATTGTAAGAACGCCCTAAGACTAAACTATGGAGTGTGTACTAGTTAAAATTTAAAAGCATCAAGTAACAATATGGTTTTAATATTTAAAACTAAATAGTGCTAAAATAAAAAACTAATTCAGTTTACAAATCATTCAATTTATCTATAAAGTAATTAGGCCAAGGTAAAATAGTAAAATACATTTATGAAAAAAAAGTGTTTGAAAGTATCCATAAATACTTTTTAAAAGTATTTGTATTTGTACATAAATACTTTTTTTTTCAAGTATTCGGATACGTATTTTAAACATAAGTATCTGTATATGCACTTGAATACTTTTTAAAAGTATCTTTTACAAGACATGGTACCTAGGCCGCAAAAGTTAAGTTTCACTGTTCATCTCGCGCGAGACGCTCGTTCATAAAACAAATGAACTGTTCAATATATTTGGCAATTGTTCATAGTTTTAGAAATGTATTCTGTTGCGAAATAGAAAATGTAATAGTTGTCTAAAGGTTGTCGGGACTTATATATTGATTCGGTCTACTATCGATGATGATCACCTGTCCAGATCGGGGGCGAAGTATTGGCCGTCGTCGCAGGGACCGCCGAGCCTGAACAGCTGATGGCAACGGGAGTCGCGAGCGCTACGGACGCTGCCCGGCGGACACGCGCACTCTGCGGAACCCTTGCGGTCCGGTCGCGGCACCAATTCCATCGTCTCTGGGCACGGGTACCCGCGTTGGAATATCCGGTAGCACTTCTTGTCGTCCGGCCAGTAGAGCAGCTGCCATCCACCCGATGGTTCTGCTGCGCACGGATTCTGAGACGGATCCGCCCAGGGTGGCGGCAGTACCGCGCCTGTAGTGACGGCGGCTAAGCATGCCAAGCAGTGTAGTAATAGCATCACCTATAAATTATGATATCAGTTGTATAGTTTATAATAATATGTAACGGCAATGTCTAAAAATTAGGGTGTATCGAACAAATATTACTCCCCCTTTTAATGTAACCACAGTGTTTGAATCGAGTGAGGACGCGGAGAACGCGAGAGGACGGAGTTCCTCTTGTTTTTTAAAATATATTTATCTGTACCTACCCTTTCTAATTACATCTTAATCTATAAAAGACATTTAAATATCTAGGTAAGCACATTTTGTTTACACATTTGCACCCACCCTCTACTTATTGTTTTCTATTTCAAACAATTCAAGAGTAAACCTTTACTCTCGAATTTCGGTTGTGTTGTATAAATATAACGTATTCACTATTTATGTTCCATATAATACTGCAACTTCAAGAGTTGCAACAAAAAACCAAATGTAACTTTATAATTTCATACAAATAATATAATATTATATTATATAATATACAAATATAACTTTATAATTGTATATAATATATATATAAACTACTATATACATAGCAATCAGATCAATTAAAATGGCCAAACGACGTACTTCCTCATCAAGTCCAAAACGCAATAACCGCCTACATATATTTTGTTTCACCTTATGATTAGATCTTAACTATGTATCAATTCACACGAAATCCAAGCACTATACAAATTTTAGCTGAGCACCATTTGGGCTTAAGGTTATGGTGTTACATCTGGAGATGCGATAAATCATCTCAAACCCAAAATATTCAAGCCATCCAGTACATCACTCTTCGTCTTATTATCGTCCCCTCGCAGATATGTAATTATGTAATCAATGAATCTTTACAATTTTTCATATTATAAGTTCTTAAATTTATACTGTTGAGCGTTGACCAACTAACCAAAATCGACTACAATAGGTTTCACTCAAGACTGCAGAAATCAAATCTTTCGTTTATCATCGCCCATTCTTTCTGATAACACTTAACGTCGCTTCAAAGGTGCTGGTGTCGATACCGTATGGTATTAAATTAAAAAACGCTGTCCTGAAGGGTTATAAATGGATGGATTCTCTCTTTATGTGTTTTATTTTATCTAAGTTTTTTGTTATTTTTATGAACACTATCCAATATTTACTCATTGTGTTGAAACAAATATTGGAAGATTTTCCAATAATAAAAAAAAGCAACTTTATATCCATTCATAACTCATAAGTATTGTATTCAATAGACTTGCTAACTAAATTTGAAGGTGTTGTATTGCACGGAATAGCCACCCACCACTATTGGTCATATCAAAGATCAATCGATATTTAATACTGAAATGATTAAATGGGGTAGATAATAGGTGCACGAATTGTTTCCAGGTCCACCATATAGAATATATTAATATAATGTACACCGCAAGAGCGATACTCTCGGTATTCGAAACCACGGTTCTAATCTTTGAATAGAAACTGTATATTTTACTTCGAGATCAGATTTATTTTAAAATTAATTCAAGGGCCAATATACAGTTCTTAAAAGTTTAGCCTCAAGATAAATAATATATTGTTTATATCAAAGAAAAGCACTTTGGCGTAAATAAGAAATATAATACGTACAACGTACATAATATACAGAATTATCCAAATGTTTCTTTGCAAAATTGATGAGGATTACATTAAAATCATATGCGATCTCCGCTGATTTTGTAACTCATAATTTGGTTAATCCTGTATACAATTATTGATGTAACTGCAACAAAATATTATTTATCTATTTATAGATGTACAATGTATAGTGGGAACACATCTGAGTATGCTCCTAGTAATTAGTATACATTTTATAGGTATCTATATAATATTATAGTGTATGATCCACCATTATTAGCCCCTCAGGGAACGAAATTAAACAGAAAATAATTTTTAGAATAGGTACCTTATACTAATAAAAAGTATAAATATCTAATTATAGTAATTATACATATTTTGTTTTCACAGCCAACACGTTAATATACACCGCATAAATTACTATTGTTTTTATGTTTATCTCATATTATTATGACTGCAAGCGCACAGCATATTTTCAAACTAATTTATCGCAAAAATCGGTTTATTGCCAACTCCGTGGTTTCGTGTACAAAAAACACTCATTTTTCGATGACTAACAATATTTAAATATTAATACAAACAATAGCTAAAAATAGTATCCAACAATAATTTCAGCAAAAGTTCGGGCAAGTAGTAAAATATTATATAGTTGTGTTTCATGGTCACGTGGTACTCGCTATATAGTATATATGTATAATATTATTATATACGTATTATTAATGACCTTGAGAAATCTATCGGAGGCTCCGATTCAGAGCCTTCAAATGGCTAGTATACAAAATTCAAACTCTTAAACATTTTTAAGTATAATATTATGTCGCCAATACTATATAACATTAATATACACATGGATAATGCATGCACCAACAGAAATATTAAATTATTTTCATACCTGCAGCAGTATACGGTTTAACGTATATTATGCTGAAAATTACTTATCGCTAAATTTAAAAAAAAAAAAATAATAAAATTGGTATGTTATTATTTTACAACACGTTAATACTTAAATATTTTGAAACACTCGCGTAAAAAAGTTACTACATATAATATATATTAAATATAAATATATTGAAATGGAAACTAGATTTTCACTTTCGTTCCGTTCGATAGGCAATGACAACGATGACTGTTATGGTTTGTCTGTCAATTCTGTATCGGGTTATATTTCCCTCCCGCATTTCACGTGTATATATGTGAACCACCAGGCCACACTCTTATTCCATTCATGATGTCGACATTGTATTATAATTTTTTATCCATTTTCTCTAGTTTAGACGGTTAGACCACAGCACTATATATAAACGATATGGTCATTTTTCTTCGCCGACACGCAAGAACAGTTGTTTTGAATACAATTTTAATTACCGATATAGCTGCAGGTATGCACAAGAGGTGCGCATGTACCTACATATATAATAATATTATATTATACTCGTCTTGTTTGAAGTATTAACACAATGAGAAAGACAAAATAGTATCGTAAGTCATAACCTTGTTTCATCTAAATTTTATAATAATGATAGGATACATCCAAATATAGTGGACATAAAGACAAAAGACATTGAGCATAGTAATAAGTATTATTCAGGTGTCAGCATTTAAACAATAGAAAATAAAATGAAAAGTAACTTTATTTTAATTTCTCCCACGCACGTCGTGAAAACTGAAAAGGAATCTAAACCACTACATGGTGTATATAAACTAGGTAATAAATTACATAAACTTTATACACATCAACACATCGCAACTAGGTACACTTCAATGTTTTTCTATAATAATATGTACCTACCGAATATTTTGGTATACAATGACATGATACTATATATTTTGGTTTTATAATACGTTTATTTCATCATAAGTATTAGTATTAGTATATGTGCATCGTAATACAATGTATAATTTACAAGCAACATGCACACCTACACGTCGAAACAAATTAAATACTTTCACGTTCGGATTAATATGTATGTCTCATCAAGTCAAATTGCGTTTTAAGTACCTTCCATAATAATAATATAATATACCAATATAGCACATCCACAAAAATATCCATTTGTAGAATATTAGACTAACATTCCTCTAAGGCAGTAAGACGTCGATGGGCCTCGTATGATAAACACCACCTTACACATGAGCTAACTCTGGAAGTACGTGGTTGCATGTTATTTACTTAGGATTTATACATATACGATATACATTATACATATAAGCATGCCAACACGTAAAACCAATGTATAAACAACGGACAGATGATAATATGTGTACATTATTTATTTTAATATATGCTTATAACATATTATACAATTTTGTTGTTGTTGTTGTAATAAGTTGTTAAAAATGCTAAATTATAAAAAATACTGTAGTTAATATAGGCATATACCATAACACTAAAATATTCCATATAAGGACCAAAGCCGTTCATTTTTACGTCATGTCAATTGGCTTACAGAATGATGAGTACATGTTTCGGTGTTTTAAATTAATATCCCAGACGAATTTTTACTGTTTAGTGTTGACGATCAAACAATACGAATTACTATTGTACCTATATATAGTATACAATATATACATAGTAGGCGTTCATACCAATACGCTATTGAGGTGTATTGGTAGGGACTAGGGAGTAATATATATATGTATAGTACCAAAATAACTATGCATATTGCATATAATATATTATAATAATAAATATTCTGTCATTGAATTTCAACTCATCGCGGCATTTCATGAGCCGTTTGAACTCGCAGTGTATTGTGAATCTGATATTATTAAAATAATATGATATAACAAGTATAGATTCATTTTCAACTATGTTACTGTCAGTGCTTTCTTTTTCTACAACTATTCCCAGACCAAAATGTATTTACGTATAACATATTTCGTTGTAATTCTAATTTACATAACATTATTAAAACGAGAATTCGTACTCATTTTTTATCGTCCTCGTCCAGATTATTGGAAATGTTCAGTAGTATAATATGTACACAAAATGTATAGTATAGGTAATGTTGTTACTATTATAATATATAATTGATCATTATATAATTTAGAACAGCACCTTAGCGATTTATTATTATTTTTAAACAAAATCGTTATTCAAATACAATCAATTCATTAGGTAAGCAAAAAAAAAAAATTTAGTTAAACAAACTACAGTTTTGATTTGTTTTGTTTTGTGTACTGTTTTACCGTAACAGGTGCTATGTGCGCAATATTATATTTATGTACAATGATTCGCATGAGGACAAATAATCAGGTTTTACTTTCGAAAACACACAAACCAGTTGACTTTTTTTTAAAGATCACCCGTAATTCGTAAATATAATTAGTAAGATTATGGCGAAAAAAATACTCGTGTTACAATACTAAAAATATTTAAGAGCAATTAATACCTCAAACAAAATCCACATCTACAATATGCGTGATTAAAAATGTT